TAGTGTACATAGCCCTGCTCCACGGTAAAAGCGAAGCATACAGCCCTGCTCCACGCTGAAAGAGATCCTTAGGGCCCAGCTCCATGATGAACACGAAGCGGAGGGCCCCGCTCCGTAATGAAAGCAAAGCACACGGACCCAGTGCACAGTGAAAGCCCTGCAGTAAATCTGCACCATAATCAGCTGTACGGTACCTGGGACTGTGGGTAGTATATGGCCCCTATGGAAAAACATGCAGTTCTACCAGGGACTCTAGAACCCTACCCTATAGTGAAAATTGATTGTAAATGGCCCCATGGATACCAATCATGGATCAATGGCTATAGTGAACTTTGCACAGATACAGATCTGCGGTGACCATCCTAGGTGCGGTGACAGCTGATCAGAAAACGGCCCAATCTGCTGTGGCCGCAGATCAGAAATGATCCAGTCTACAATGAATGTGGATGAGAAGTGGTCCTGGCTATGGTAAACATGTACCATATGTAGACCAGCTCTACGGTGAGCACACTCTAGCGGCAGTGTAACACTACAAATAAACATATAAAAGACATTGGTAAAGACCACTGCTACTGGGCATATAATACCTTTGAGTTTGTTACTTACACATAGCGCCAGGTCCTGAGCATCATGTATGCCCACAGCAACAGACACCATAGAGCCCTTCTGCAGAGATTAATGCCCTGTACAAGCCATATCTTATAAGAAATTATCTTTGCATGTTCACCTGGAGATTCAGAGCCACACACACATTACTTAATAATAGGACTTTTGTGTACACATTTACAATCAATTTCTACAGGTTATGTCTGCACCCATGGAATGAGGGATGTGCTGTTTCCTTCTAACATGTTACACACGACTGCCCAAAGACATGTTAGATCTACTGCGCTGGTACCCACTATCAGATAGGCAGCAGTAACAATAGCTAAACACTGAGTTAGAGTGGGGAGATTTAACCCTTTCACTGCCAGAGAGTCCTGCCCCCTGAGAGGTAACGGGCTAATTTCACTGAAATAATGGAAAAGAAAAGATTCAAATAGAAATACCGGTTTCTGACATTGGTTTGTTATTCCCAGGATAGGAAGGATTGATTTTTTTTTTTTTTTTAAGGTATTAGCTTATTAGTGGTGGTCTATAGGTGAGCCCCTATCAGCACTTCCTGCCAGGACGGAGATAATCAGTTGCAGAGTAGTGGGCAGACCTAGCAAGTACACAATCCAAGCAGTGGAAATGATAAATTCTCTGCAGACAGCACCATGAAGTGAATTAGCTGCACATTGCAATGTAGAAGATGTTCTGCTGAACTGCTAAAGCACATTAACCCCATATGAATGGCAAGGGCCCTGCCCAGGGTACGGGTAAAGCCAGCAAGTGGGAATCAGAGACATCTTGTTCCCCTTAACATAAATTGAGGTTACAGCCAGCAATGGGAGAAACAGGGATGTAAAATTTAGAACAAAAGGCTCGTTCGAGAGAAAAAGCAGGATGATAGGGACTGTGAAACGTGTGTAGAGGCAAAGTAGCAAATATACAGTCACTAGTGAAGGAGATGGGCAGAACGCAGGTTTTATTGCGCTCATGAAATGGCGGATTCCTATTGGCTCTTGGTACTGCTCCATGGGGGTGGTGCTCTGCAGGAGGCTCCTCCCTCTCAGTTCATGTTAGTAATAAATATAACCAAGACAAGTCCAGACCGCACTACAATTTCAGATATCTGGAGCATCTAATCCATTTTCTTCACCTCTCGATTCCCATAACTTGAGCCTCTTTCTATCTCTGTCACCCCAATGAGACGTCGCACTGCAAACGAGGCTGGAAAGGAGATAAAATGCAAGCAGAAAAAATAAACGATTTACAAAAAAAAAAAAAAAACTAAAAACCTCACACAAGCAAACATATGCTTGCTTGCTTGCATCTTAAGATAACACCATAGCCAATTCCATCCATGCACAGGATAAAAGAGCTGAGCAGTGCAGCTTACCACCAGCATAAATAAATACATTATTTTACTTCTGCATATATTAAGAAAATCATACGTCCACCTATAATGAACACAGTGGTCAGTTTACCCATAAAACAGGACTATTTCAGCTGCTAGGGTTTACCCCCACCCTTATACAGGGACCCACTTCCAGTTCTGTAAATTTTACTAAACTCCCATTAAAATGGTACCATAAGAATACAAATAACATGACCTATTAAGAAAATTACAGAGACTGATCATCACTTATTACCTGTCCACATGAAGCCCATAAAAGAGAGAATGAGAAGTGGAGACCCACTGGCAAAGATGCCAACTGCAAATGAGAATAATGGGGACAGAAGAAGAGTGGCCCAGAATAAGAAGTTTATGAGAGTCCATGGTCTGCGGCGTGGTACAATCTGGGGACCCGGGAAGGTGCCCTCCTGGAGGTATCGTTCCTGCAAAGCATCCTTGAAAAAGACACAAGAAACATCTCAGAAGACATGGAAACCAGTCAAACTTTTCTCCCAATAGATAATGCCCTCTTTTATATACCCAGTCTATTCTCCGATCACATATAGAGAGCAGTGTGACCGTGTGATGCTCAGCACAGCGGAATCAATTATCTTCCTTTCTCCCAATATATAGTGCCCTCACTTCTGATGTCAGCAAACAGAGGCAGTTTAGGGGCAGAGGCAGCAGCATCAGACTTTAATATAAGTAAGATTTTACTATATTTAGATAAGCAAGGGGGGAGCCAGGGGCGCTAGCAGGGCTTTTTAACACCATAGGGTGAGAATTTTTTTTTTTTTTCCTGACCTTATAGTGCTCCTTTGAGCTTAAGGGGAAACTAAAGCACCACAACAATTTCATTTCAATGAAGTTGTTATGGTGCAAGGAGGCCCCTGGAGCAAGTTTACCTCAACGTGTTAAACAGTTTGCAAATGGTTTAACCCCAAAGTTACCTCCAGCAGCGATGTCCACGCGTTCTGAAATGTCAATTTCAGGAAGCGCAGAGTGCTGCTGATTCACTGAGGGCTGTCAGTTGAAAACTGGATGAAAAAAAAAAGCTATGTTTCTTTCAAGCCAGTTCATGGAAAGGTAAGAAGAGTGCCTCAAGGCACCATAACTTCATTTAGATAAAGTTGTTTTGATGCTTGGAGAGTCCCATTAATCAATATCCACTCCCATGTCTGTTAAAAAAAAAAAAAAAAGAAAAGAAAAAAACACCATGACTTTACAATATTCTAGAATTGCGCAACACAATTTGTGCCATCTTACTTTTGGATGGGTTATGGAATGGGTATACTTGCAGGACTATCTGTGCAGATGAAGGGCACCCGTGGCATCCCATCATTTTACCTTTTCCTGGTAGAGTTTGTGAAGCCAGTTTGCCGCCTCTTTCTCATCGAGTGGAATGTCCTCCAGAGGGAAACGTCTGAGACAGAGAGATAACATGAGATTGGGAGACAGTGGGGAAGTCTACAATGGCTGTGACAGAGTTTAATAAGAGTCGACCAAAAGAGGGAGGATGGGTGGCCAAACGAGGCAAAATTACAAAGCGGAAAACAGAATGATGTTCAAAGCACCAATGGCAGAATAAAGACATTTTAATAGAAACCAATTACACTAAAATCCAACATGTAAAAAGACAGCACAATTAAAGGGTTAATCCAAGTAACATGACGTGGTCAGGGTGCCAGGAGGCTGTACATGCAGCAATTCAAAGTAAAACAATACAGTGTTTAACCCTCTCCCCCTCGGAGGAGAATCGGTTTGTCACGTTCTATAGAACATAAA